CCCGCCCTGACCTAGGGCCTGGGCTACTACAACCCATTGACTCAGCCCCTGCTTAAGGGCCTGGGTTCCTGAACTATTGGCTCAGCCCCTGCTTGAGGGTCTGAGCTCCAGACTGCGTGGTTGCTGCCCCGCCCTGATTGAGAGCCCGGGGCTTTTGGTCTGACCTATTGGCTCAGCCCCTGCTTAAGGGCCTGAGCCCCTAACCGTGTGTTTGCTGTCCCACACTACTGGTGGACCAGGATGGATGGCGAACCAGAGCGAGGCGGTGGGACACCCCACAGCCCCGCTGAGGGCCGAACCTCGGCCGAGACTCCTACACGTGGTACCAGAAGTGGGGACATCTTGCCCAGGATGTGGGCACGCGCCCTTGACCCCTGTGAGAAAGGGTCTGGGGGGGAGCGGTCCCCCACAAGAGACATGGATTTGACCAAGCTCTTCACGCTCCTGACGGAGAGCCAGGAGCGACAGCAGGCGGCCCAGCTTCAGCAGCAACAGCAGCAGCGGGCCGCCCAGCTCCAACAGCACCAGCAGCTCGTCCAGCAGCTGGGAGCCCAGCAGCAGCAGCTGATACAGGACCTGACGGTGCAAAACCGGGAGTTCCAGCAACAATGCTTACAGCAGCTGGCAACAGCCTTGCCCCGGCCCCCGGGGCCCCAGCTGGGAGACCCGGACGGGGCTCCCTGACTCAACCTGCCTGTGAGACTGACCAAGATGGGACCCCACAGGATGACCCCGAAGCCTTTCTGGTGACCTTTGAAAGGGTCGCACACATTGCCGGGTGGGCGCCAAACCACTGGGCCACCCTCCTGGCACCATACCTGACAGGGACGGCGCAAACCGTGTACCAGGGGTTATCCACGGAGGATGCAAGAGACTATACCCGGGTAAAGGCGGCGATTTTAGACGCCTTAGACATCAGCCCAGAAACCTTCCGGCAGCAGTTCCGGGCTCTGTCCTACACCCCGGGCGCCCAACCCCGGTTGGTGGCCCAGGAGCTGAGAGACCTGTGTCGACGGTGGCTACAACCCGACAGGCGGAACCCCGTGGAGCTCACTGAGCAAATCCTATTGGAACAGTTCATCCACATCCTCCCGTCACGGGGGAGGGCTTGGGTTCTCCGCCACCGGCCTCCAACGGTAGCAGCTGCCGTCGCCCTCATGGAGGACTTCCTTGCGGCGGAAGCCCCAGTTGGACCGATTATGCGGGGCCACCCTCCAGGGCCCGATCGCCCCAACCCTGAGAGACGGACGAGCACCTGAGTTGAACCACGGAATCCCCCGCGGAGTCAGGAGCCCTGGTATAGACGTCCCGAGGGTCCCCCTCGGCCTGCCCCCACGGGGCCCGAGACCGGGACTGGCCGCGGCCCGCGGAGTTCCCCTAGGAACCAGGGGGAGGCTCAGCCCAATCCGGGCGACCCGAACTCGGGCCCTGTTTCTCCTGTGGGAAGCGTGGGCATCTCCAACGGGACTGCACTGAGATGGACTGTAGCTTTGGGCACGTTTGTGCCGGAGAGAACCGTGCCCAACCGCCGCAGGCTGCGAAGGTCACCATGCCCGTAGTTGTCGGAGACTGCCAGACGCAGGCCCTGGTTGACTCTGGCTGTGGACAGACCCTAGTCCGCCAAAGCCTGGGCTTCCCTGAAGACCCTCAGCTGGGGAACATTCTATTGCAGTGCATCCATGGTGACGTTCGACCTTACGCCAGTGCCCGAGTCCCACTGACCGTCGAC